GCTGAAATACCATGTCAGTATTGCATTCATATTTGTAATATACTATGCTTGTGTGTGTGCATGTGGATGCAGTATTCTTGTTAACTACATTGTTCCATCATTTTTTCCTGCATGAGGTTTTAGGGTTTTTTTCTTTTTGTCTATTTCAAGTGATTCTTTTCACTGTCCATTTATCTGTCTATCACTTACGACTGTCCAGCCTAGTCTTCTGGATACTCCTCCTCTCCCTCTGCTGACATCTATAAAGTTTATATTCAGATTATTCCTCACTGGTTGCCACTTTTAAAAGTCAACAGGAGTTAGGTGTCTAACTTCTACTTATACATTTTAAAACATTTATCAATCATGGACTCTGGTTTTCCATAGTCATTTAACTCATTTCCACATTCCTCAGACAGGTTTGGCTAAGGATTTTGAATGTATTGCTTAGAGAATGTACCATTTAGAACAATTTCTGCAGTTGTTAATGAATATCATATTTACTTGAATCCAAGATCAGGTTTTTATCTTCAGTCTACATGGCAGGGTGAGGAGGGGGGAAGCCTCCTCTTAGATTCAAGTACTGCCTGGGGCAAGAGGCTACTGCAGCCCTAGCTGCAGGCCTGGGGACAAAGTCAAAGGTGAGCTACTATCTGCCCCTGACTGGGATGGCTCATGCATCAGTGGAGGGGGTGTGTGGTAAGGGGAATGCAAGGGGGTAGGGGCATGTGGGGGAGACCATGTGGTGGAGGGGGACGTGCTGGAGAAACCTGCACAGTATGGCTTTGAGTGCATGGGAGACCAGGTAAATACAGTACACTATCTGAAAAATGTTGTCTTTTTTCTGCCTTTATAAAATGCATAAATTCCTGTACGTCATCTATAATCACTCAAAGAGGTTGAAGATTAACAACACTAGTGCACCTTGTCCACAGATAAACAAATGTCCTCTTAATTTAACTTTCAAAAGGATGGACTCTTACTATATGCTATACATTTCAAGACACTGTTCATCCACCAGTATGATGTGGGCTACATAAACAAATGCTTTTTCAAGAGATTCATAAAAAGTCTACCTGTGTATAAAGTAGTTGGTTATGATTCCATTTGGTTTCTTAGGTGGTGCCCATTTCACTTCTATAACTGCAGACCCTGTTGCCTTCACTATAGGTGGGCTCAGTTCCTCAGGAAGTGCTTCAGCAGTTCTTGCATGTGTCCTAGTGCCTACTCCACAGGCACCTGAAGGGAAAATTAAAGGTCAGAGTTTTCCACAACAATACAATTGACATTTTAATAATCTAATATAAGAAATAAAAACATTTATGAATCTGAATATGTTAGTGTTATTTTCTCTGGACAAAAGCAGAAGCTTCAATTAGAAATGGTAGCTATAATTTAAAACAAAAAGTAACATTTTTTCAATGTATAAAAATGAAGAAATTAAATATTAATTTTCCATTTAAAAATATTTAAAAAGTCTTTTAAACACTGCCTATGTCCTATCACCTGCCTATCATCCTATTAACCTGTCTAGATACAGCTGTCTGATCTCTCCTTTTATTTTTGTGGGAATGTAACAAAACTACACACTGTAGGAAAACAAAGGACAGTAAAAATAAAGGAGGAAGTCTGAAATTATGAAGACATGAGGTAAGATTTACAGAAGTTACACTTTTGGCCTGATTTTGCTTCCACCAAAGTCAAAGGTAAAACTATCTTTAAGAAGCATAAATTTTGTATAAGCTGAGTTTCAGGACCCAATGTTTCAGAAGTTAGCAATTTCATAGAATAAACAATAAAGGAAAAGCAAATTTCCATGTAGAAAATAATCTTATACCTAAAAGAAGCATTTTGCTTTATAACTAAGCCCTCAGTGTATATAACTAAGTAATCGCTTCAGTGGAGATATTGCTGATTTATGCCTGTGAAAGAAAACCAGAACCAGGTCCCATGTGCTACATCAGAAGATATGCTCAGGTCAGACTGAGTATTCCCAATGCTTTTAAATACATATGCACTTCATTAAATACGTTCTATTTTTTTGAACATTTATCTATCTATCTTTATCTTTCTAGGCCCACTGTTGGTGCAATAGACACCACCAAGGCAAAGATTTTGTTCTATGCAGAGCAGGTTTTTGGTTTTTTTTAAACAACAGGATATTTAAATCCTCTTTACAAAGCATTTGAAAAAAATGGGATATGTTCCCAAAATACAGACATTTTAATCTCTGTTTAAAATATTCATGACATAATATAGAAAAATATATCATGCTTCACTTAGTGCTAGGGTTTACATTTATTGGGTAAACATCTTGCTTCAATTTAGAAAGAAGATGTTATTTATTTTGCTGACCTGAACCTATTTGGCAAATCTGTACTTTTTGATGATCACACTAGTAAATCATTTGAAGCCATCTTACCATTCTGACAACATTGTATCCTTATCTCGTACTTGGTGTATGGATCCAGGTCATCCAAAAGGACAAACTGAGGCTGACCTACTGGTCTTACCAACTGGGAAGGACTGCCAGCATTTAGTAAGACATTATACTCCACAGGTATACTGATGTTGAAAATCCCTATTATGGAATGAGAATACACAGCAATTATCTTATAATACGAATAGTGCAGTAATAGTGTAAGAGTAATAGTGCAGGCTGGCTTCTAAAAGGTACTTTAATATTTGCAACTCTGAGCTCAAGCCCCACTTGGGATTTTGTCCAATTTCTGTTTAAGGCCAGGTACAGTTGTTGCACTTTTACTTGTATAAGTGATTGGAAACTGGTTTAAACTCATAACAGAACAGAAGTTCAGCACAAATAGACCAAAAATGGCAGAACCTGGTCTAAGATGGACACCCTGCATCCCCCCTCAACACACACATATCCCAGCAAAGGCCAAATGTGTGTTCAGTTTACTACTACTTTACACCACATACAAAAAACTGTGTAACTGAGATTGATTTCACCTCTGGCTTTTTAAATGTCTGTGCCTAGCCTTAGAAATAAGTATCATTCAAAACATATATTGAAACAAAATCTGTGAGCAGTTAAAAACATGAAAGGGTGTGTGGCGTATCTTTTATTAGACTAACTAAATAAATTCACTAATACAGGCTATTGCCTCTGACCCAAGAGCTGTATTTATCTCCATTTCTTAGCCCACCATGGCTATAACATACTCCTGAAAGGGTATGTAACACTTCTGAAGACAAATCTAAAAAACTGATACATGTCCAAGAACTGATTTCATGAAAACTACTTTTATATAAGCCTATTGATAGTAGCATCAAGTGGGATGCTTTCAATCTCTCATGTTCATGCTGCACCACTTTGCATGTATACAGAAACATTCGCTAGAATGGAGCAGGGGCCAAAACTCAGATATGCCATCTCCCAGCTGAGTGTTCTGTTCACCAGGTTACAGTCACTGTCTCTAGCTCCATGAAGATTTAACCTTTTATGAAAAGTGGAGCAGCATTAACTGGACAGATTTAGAGTATGTGACCCCAGAGTAACCCTTTAGGGCACGTGCCCACAAGCAGGAACATGTATTTCCCCAGGGACAAATAGCAGCGGCACATAGTTGGTGCTTTATTTTTGACACAGGGATATCCCAGTGTCAAAAAACCTACTGTGCTACAAATTAGCAGCACAGTAAATGCAAGCACGTGTGGTTTGCAGTGCCGTAACATGCGTTTGCTGTGCCACAGACTACATGTGCATAATCATGGGGACGTGCCCTAACAGTCCAACAGCACTCTCCTGGGAAGTGAGTGATGTGGGTTCAAACCACCCCACATAAGGGAGGGCATTGAGTTGACCACTTCACTAGTAGAAGAGGGAAAGACATTCTGCAGCCTATTATTCTTTAGTTGTCCTTTAGCTAGCTCTGGCCCTCCAATCCTCTATGCCAGAAGGGGAAGGCGTGGGGCTTGGCAGCTGCCATCTTGCAATCTTTCCTTTACAGCATTTTTGGAGAAGAGAAGAGCCTGGGCTTACATAAGCCATAACAAATGTTTTCTAGTCTAAATTGACAGGTGTAGAGCGCTTCCCTTCTTCATTCCAATACATTCTACCAAGCTCTACAAAGACTGCAGTGACTATAAAACAACAGCAAAAGATTTCAGAATACTGTGTGTGTTTTTCAATTCTGCAAAACATTTTTACTAAGTGAGGAGCAATTTAGGAAAATACAGAAACTAAGCATATATTTGTAAGGTGTTTAAAGTGAAGTGAAATCATTTTAAAACATGGCTGATAAAAAATAAGGAAACCACATTTCCAAAGACAAGTGAAACTACTTCTGCTGTTTTTGGTACTGCATTCGTCTCCAATTCCATCTGCAAAAGGAACCTAATACTAGATGCCTGACACTGGATGTGTCTACAAGAAACACTAAAAGCACAGTAGGCTAATTCTACTGTGCATTAGTGCACCATGGTAAAAGTCATGCTAATGCACTAATATGCAGAATTACTAATATGTAGAATTAGTCTACTGTGCATTAGTGTCACATGAAAGACATGTGCTGGTGCTACTGCGCAGTAGTTCAAATTACAGCCCATTAAGTTAGTACCTGTTATTACAGGTACTAAACTTAATGCACTGTAATCATGGTGCATTAATGTACACATAGATATGCTCACTGTTAGGATTCCTTTAATATCTTACTAGCAACAACTTAAATCTTCCTACGCAACCATAATTAATGATTTTCAGTGGCTCCATTATTCTTTAGCTAATGGCAGAACACTTTGATTCAATCTTTAGAGAGAAACTTTTTTTGACTAAGTAAACAGAGGAAGCTTTTGCAATCTCCAACTATTTCAAAGCAGTAGAAAGAAAGACAAGACAAATTCACAAGTGAAGTTATTCAAAATAAGATAATGGTAATCATGGCCCTTAATACTGGGATTGATATTTCGGAGAAAACTTCAGGAAAGTTGTACCTGTTTGTGGTATATAAAATAGGCCTATTATTAATCAAAAAGACAGTTCTCTGTCTGTAAGTTGCTGATGACATGGAAAGTTCATAAAGTGTTCAGTGAATTGTATATTGCAGCTTGTACATTCTAGAAAGTAACTATCAATAATTCAAAATATAATATTGCATCTTGATCTGAGGCTCGGCAACTATCATGGATAGTTCTCAGCTGTGCTGGTACTGCTGTTCTGAGAGGTTTAGTGTCAAGTATGACAGACAGACAGCAACAGGAAGAAACATAAGCTCCATATACTCATTGCCCATATGCCAAATGCTTTGAGTACAGCATGGAGGGATATCACAGGAAAGAGTAATAAGAGACACTTTGGATGTTGCCTACAGATAACCAAATTAACTTTAAAAATTCAGACAAATAACATTTTGAATTTCAGGAGATAAAATAAGAAGTATTAAGGACATTTCAGGTATCCACACCTGTCTAAGATGAAATGAGTGCAGAAGAACCAAAAGAACTAAAAGAAGATCTTGAGGTGAGATTTTGAATTGAGGGTAGAACAGCTCAAATACTATTGCAGTCAGTTGAAAAATCCTCAACATTGGATGGATGTTTCAGAAATAGTAGGACAATCTTGTGTAAAAATTCTACTTAATTCACTACAGTTCTTTAGAACAGCTGAAGCTACAAGTTAGCTAGGGAGCAAATCCACCAGAAATATCTAAATTTGGTAATACTCACAATACCTGAGCTTCCAAGGATGAAGATAATACAATCTAAGGACAACTGAACACAGGCTTTCCAAACTTAGCAAAGGAATTTTACAAGCATATCTACTTCAAAATAAGTGTTTTTATTGGGTCCAGTAATAAAACAAAATTTGAATATAAAGGCTACAAAATTATTTTTAAAAAACTTAAAAGTTCTCATATCAGCTTTAATTATAACAGAAATACAAGGCCAAGACATGCTTCAGGACTTTGGTTCTGATTTTAATCATGTTTGATTGATTGATTACTCAGCTTCATTTATTGCAAGCCAACTATCAGCTTAAAAAAGATTGTCTGCTGAGAAATATATCAGTTTGTTCAGACAAAGTAAATGTCAGCTGTTTTCTGAAGTGGTGAAGCTGAAAATTAGTTTGGTGGTACCCGTAATGTAAGTGAGCACAATTTCAGTGCTCTGGGACAGTCTACAATGAGACAATCACAGCTCCAGTGGTATATGACTTTATATGTATATGTAAAGGAGAACCATTTATGCTTTTCAGGTCATAGATATTACAGAATTCATTTTAGAAAACTATGATCATTATATGAACTTTTTCATATTTGTAAGTTGTTTTTTTACACTTGTTTAAAAACATAATACCGTAATGCCTAGTTTTGTATCATGACTAAACTCTGCCCATTTTTAATAAAATGAGATAAACTCATATATTTATTATAAGGGTGTTTTTGAAACTAAAAAGCAAAATGACTTCCCATGCTGTATGTCTGTGACAAAATGGGAAGCTGTGCAGAAGTGGGGAACATGGATGATGGTATTGTCAAATACACCCATCAATTTGCATGGTACACACATGATGCTAATAAACATGTAAACAACATGGTCATGCAGCTATTAGTATGCACCAAAGAACAGTGTTCTATCATTCATTTTTTGTAGGCCAAAGGTGTGCTGCCTAGTGAAATTCACCATATGGCAGTGGCACAATATAGTTGTAACTTTATGGCTCAACAGAAGGTCTATGAGTGGGTGGAGAAGTACAAAATCTCAGCCACGTGTCCATAGTGGATGAATCGTAGGCAGGACATCATAACACAACCATGATGCACCTCGACCTGGGGAAGGCCTATGACCAAGTGTCCCATCAGTTCCTGTTCAAGACACTGAAGAAGACGGGTGTCCCCCCACAAATTTTGTCATTTGAATAAAGATACTGTACACCAATGTGAGCAACAGGGAGTTGGTAAACAGGTTCCTGACAGTGCTGAATGTGATGGAGTTGGGCATCTGGCAAGGCTGCCAACCCTCCCCTTTGCATGATTGTGAAAGTTAAAGGTGATAGTGATAGGCATGTAGATGCATAGGTGCACAGGTGTGCAGATGTGTAATGCACATCCCAATGTAATAGGAATGAGAATAGTGTAACTGTAAATGTGTGATTTGGACTGTTGAGTGAACCATATCAGTCACAAGAAAGATTGGAAGAGATGAGTGTGTGTATATCCTGTATATTACCCTCACATACCTGTTCACATGCATGATGTAGTCAAACTTTGCACAATGGAGTCAAACTTTGCAATGTTGTCCTGCATTATGGCTATTTTCTGTGTGTATGTGTGTGTGTGTGTGTGTGTAATTATTTTTATTTTTTTTGCAATGTTGTTTTGCATTATGGCTTTTTTTTTGCAAAAACAAAAAAATGAAATAAAAAAAACCCAACAGCCATAATAAAGGACAACACTACAAAGTTTGACTCATGCCTGTGAACAGGTATGTGACTATTCCTGAACCAGTGGCAGAAGCAGGTGTAAGCACTGGCAGTATACATGCTATTTTGCATGTAAGCACTTGTAGCATCCATGCTGTTTTGTTGACAATAGATCAGAGTTCACATCGCGCCAACTGTCA